TGTTCCCACACTTCGATTTTGACTCACTTTTTCTAACACTCTAGTCCTCTCTCAGACAACATATTGCAGGACTAGAAGTTACCAAGGGGAAAGGTTAGTTTAGACGTGAAGCCTTTGGAAGCTGCTCATCCAACACGCAAAGCTTTATTTTCGAGGTCAGTGTTCAATATTTTCAGTCATTTAATCATACATAGCATGAGAGAGTTTGGCAGTGTTGGATGACCCACTACAGATGTAGTAGATTAAAAGGCACTAATCCCCACTCATTCCACACTCCTCCAGCAGTTCAGCAAAAAAGAACATTCTCAAGCTAGAGATCTTTAAAGAAAAAACCACCAATGCAGGACTGCTTAAATAAAATGCTGTACTTTATGGAATGTCTGGCTTTGGGGAAGTCGACAGAGAAGTGAACCAAGTGAATAATTCAATGCATTTTTTTCCTTCTTGCACATTTCTGCAGTTCTAGCTAAAATTACAGTTGTGCAAGTTCCATGTTTACTTTTGAGACATAGGATTTAAAAGAAAACAAATCAATTACTGTTTTTCTCTTAACAGATTGCAGATTAGAGGAATTTAAAGCATTAACAGTTCATCCATAAGACCTGGGATGACCAAGTCCAACAGTAATGCAAACTCTTTTCATGTTTTTCTTTTAAATTTTAATAGGAAGATAATACATACACATGTTAAGTTTAACACTAATGAATGTTAATTAAGTACTCTAAAAGGAGCTATGTCACAGTTTAAAAAAAAAAATTGCAGAAAACTGTACGTAACAGAGAAAAAATGTTTGTGTACCACACTATACAGAAATTTATACCCACAAATCTAAGTAATGAAGTGTATAAATTCATTAAAATTGCACTTTTGCAAACATTATAGCAACTTAGCTTTTCATTTGTTCCTAAATGTGAAAGTGGAGGCAAAAAGTAAACTACAAAATAAGAATACAGAAAATTGCAGGTACCATCAACTTCTATCACAAAAGAATTATGCTGCCTATTTTATATAATGTGACACATATAGCAAACCTGGCACAAATATCTGTCTTTTCTTACTTGAAAAAAAAAAAGTGAATTTATTGTTGCTGGCAGGATGATATGGATGAAATAACCAGGAAAAACTGAGGGGGGAAGGGAAGAAAGAGGAGCCAAGAAATCAGATACATTCAATGAGCCTTCAAACTCACTTCAGCAGTAGGGATAAATAATTTAATCAACTCAGCTTCATTCTTTTTCTTCCTACCTCCCTAGTGCAATAGGCAGATATTAAAAATAAAACTTTAAAATTCATGAGCAGTTGTGTGTGGAAGAACTATCACTATATAATAAGAAATATAAAGTGATATCCATGCAAGCCCTTTGTGTAGATATGTATCTGCATTTGAACTCACACTTTTCACCATATGAAATTATTGGTTAAATTCATATGTATGATAACTTTCTTTTTTTCTTCTTCCAAATTGCATTTTGGGGATGTGGGTGAGTACCCCTAGCCAAAGATTTTCAATACCATTTGGCTTTTTGGTTAACGTGAGCACTACATGAGAAGGCACTGTAGTTTGAAAGATTTGAAATAACAAGCAGATTTCAACAAATACTGTTACAGTACCCCCTAATTAGGGGAAATATCCAGAAAACAGCAATTTGGTAAGTCACCAATATCATACAGTACCATTATCATGACAAATGATCAATCATCACTTTAATGAGATGATTTTAATCCCAATTTTCCAAAACAACTCGTTAGTCAATAAACTCAATAAAAATAAAGTTCAGTGCTGAAAAGGTGTTCCTTTTATAGTTTACAAAGAACACATGAATAACTACAGAGAAAAATTAACTGCAGTAAGTGGTCAAAAGCTTTGAAAAATATCCATATTTTTATATCATATATATAATATAGATTATAATTTTCAGCATCATTTCAATCAAGCCACCGACTTCTTCTCTTGTTAAACGACCGGGTGAACTTAACAGTCGCATTTCAGTGGTTGACTGGTGTCAGCGACGCCTAAATCCACAAATTTCCAAACTATCAAATGTTTGTTGTGTATGCGTGAAATGAAATGATGTAGTTAAGGGTGACCTTCAGTGCTAAAGATCTTTAGCCACAGCTAAAGCTAATATTTCCCACAGCCACCAAGATACAATAAACACGTATAACCTGTGTTATTTGGCATCAGAGCTTAATCTTAGCATTACACATTGAAAGCTGTGATTCAGGATATAAAATGTAATTTTTATTTAAATTAATTTTGCCGCGTTATGAATATTACGACTTCTGATAGCTTAAAGGTACGACCTTTCCACTTTTGCCTTTAGCAACTGAAATTACCAAGCTAAAACCCACGGGGCAAAAATAAGAAAACCTGGCCCAGAACATTCTCATCGCTAAAGTGCAGCTCTGAGGCGGCCGCAACGCTGGGAAGTTGAGGCGTGCTCCCTCCACAGGAAAGGGCTGTTCCCTCCGCGAGGGACAACCTTTTGTCCGCCCGCTGTAACTTTCGGTTTTACCCGGCGTTGGTCTGTGACCCCGCGGGAAAGGGGCTCTTTAACATTTACATCCCAAAGAAGCCACCCCCGACACGGCAGCGCCGGACGGCTCTGGGTCCCAGCAGCCGCCGCCCAGGGCAGGAACTGGGGCGAAGAACGCGGCCGCAGCGGGCCTTCCCTCGCACCAGTCGGTCCCCGAAACCTGCCCGCCGGAGTTGGTCCCAACTTGACCGCTTTTCCTTCCCCCGCACAGGCGGGCCGTGCCCCGCTGCTGCCAACGCCGCCCCGTGTCTGAGGGCAGGGCGCGACCGGCATCGCCCCCGGCCCCGGGGGGCGGGCTGGGGTCGTGCCGGGCCCCATCCTCGGGGCAGCAGGGCGGGATTGTGCCGGGCTGGCGAGGTGCCTCCCCCTGCCCGCCCGCCGACGGGGCCCGCGGCGGTGCTGCCGAGCCAGCGGAAGAGGAAGAGGGCAGACCTTCGCCCCTGCCGCGGCAGGTTCCCCGAGCAGCCGGGGGCAGCCGCCAGTAAGAGCGGTGGGGAAGCGCCCGCCTGTCCCCGCGGAGCCGGCCCAGACCTCTCTAAGTGCCTGCTCCGGGAAGGCGAGGGCAGCCGGCCCCCGGGAGTCCACAGCCCGGCGGCCACTCACGCCCCGCAGGGGAGGAGGGAGAGAAGGAGGGAGGAGGCAGTCCTGGCCCCCGGGTGCGGCGGCGGCCGCTCCGGAGCAACCGAGACCGGGCGCTCGGGGCCGCTTCCGCTGCCGGACCCGCCGCGGCCGAGGGGAGGCACGCGTGTCCCGCCCGGCGCCTGGACGGGAAACTATACGTAGAAGGGAGAAAACTCGGGACGAAACTACCTTCTCTCCACCCGAAACAGCCAGAGAGCGGTCACCCTTCTCCCGGCGGCTTAGGGGCTGCGGCCGGGAAAGAGGAAAAGCTTCCTCGGTACGACCTGTCACCTGCAGCTTTTCAGCGACAGCCCCAGCCCTGCTCTGCTCACGGGCAGAAAAAGATTCAGGTCAGCTTCCTTCTCTGGAGCGGCACGGGAACACCCACACAACCGCCAGACCGAGGGAGCCAAGCTCACAGTCACAAATTCTCCGCTATGTTCAATAAAGTTGGTCGCATTCATACGCTGAATAAATATCATGAAATGTTCTTTGTGGCATGACTTTTCCTCAGCGACGGATGCACCTGTGACAGTTACTTTAGGAATTGGTAATCGGTCAGTAGATAAAAGATTCCAAGCGATCAAAAGCTTTGCTGGTTTGCTTTTTTTTCTTAAATATATATATATAATTTAGGGTTCTCATGAAGTGAAGCTCATCTCATGATGCTGTGAAGCAGAGGAGTTCACAACTCCAGTTTATTTGCAAATAAAGGTTCCGATTACAAACACCTAAAGTACCGAAGGGGAAATTTGCTAATTACACATCACACAGGCGAAACCCCAGACTGTCAGACAAGCAAGCCAGCATGTTTGCAGTCTTTAGCGTGCCTCCCGTGTGCACATTTACTAAGCGCAGCTTGCTAGAAGAGCTCGCTATACGATAAATCCTCCAGGTTTGAAATTAGTAAATACTGAGTCTCAAAAAGCAGTTGAACATCCACTCTTCACAACATATCGGAGCGTAATACAGAATACAAAAAAACGAAGCTAAGAATTGGCAAATGAGATTTACCGTCAGTATCTGCTACTTGATTTCTGGAGGGAACGTGAAAAAGACCTGACAGATACGTTTAGCGATTGATTCTCCCTTCATAAGGTACAAATACAAAAAGCAAGGCAGAGACAATGCCGAAATGCATTAAACTTCAAAATCGATTAGAGCCTGTCAGAAGATCTTTTAAAACAATACAAATCGTAGACTTCTGCGTAATATTTTATTCCAAAGAACACTAAATTAGCCGTGAATCTGCTGCCTTGTTCACTGGCCAGTTCACAAGAGAAAAAAAGAAAAAGAAAAAACCAAACAAACCCAACAACTTCGCGCTTGCAGTTACAGACAACTATCAGGAGCAAAAGGCCAGCATGATGTGACGCCAAGTGGGAGTTAATGAATTTACGCCTGTGCTCTTGCCGGAGCCGCCCAGTCTGTAGCTCCCTAGTTGATGGATGCCCATTAATACACCTGCATTCACGTCCCGGTCATGGGGAGGCACGCAGGGATTCAGCGCGGAGCGGCACAGTTTTGCCAAGTCCTTTCGAAATGTTAATACCCTTCAAGTTACACCCAAAGGAGAGCGATTTCTCTTGATTTCCGAGCGTACAGAGGACCGGGGCGGTTTTTCAGCCAGTAACCTTCTACCTTCCTATATGTGCCTGCGTGTGCGGGTGTGTGTCCGTGTGGCTGTGTATACATATCTATCTCTTAGAGTGGGATTAATTAGCCGCGTTTGAGCTGAAAGAGGCTGCAGTGACGAGCCCAGTGGCGATTGGCCGCCCGCCTGCCTGGCCCTGCCTTTATAATTTCCACACGAGTGCATCTGGGCTCTTATACAAACCAAGAGCCAGCTTCTTCTGACATACACACACGGCACTTTTTTTCCACCAGCTGATTAACCGCCCTGCATACACACGGTGATTACTACGGGAAAACATAAATAAATGCGAAGAGGTTTTATTATTTTGACTACTGGAAGCCTTGCTGTGTCTCAGTGCAACTTTTGTTTTTTCTTGCTGCTGGGAAAGGTGCCGCTCTCGATGCTTTCCTCTCTCTCACGGACCCTTTAAAAAAAGGGGAAGGAAAAATATCGCCCCCTCCAGTCCCCCGCCCGCTCCCCCCTCCCTCCCTCCCCGCCACACACACTTCAAGACGGCTGATCTAAAAAAGCAGGAAGAGAGCATCTGAGGAGCAGCAGCCCCGGCGCATTTTGAAAAACATTTGTTACATTTCAGAGTGCGGCAGCCTGTTTCTCCTCTGAAGTTGGCTCCAGCCTTAGCAGCCGCATTGGATCCCACAGCCTATTGCGAGACTCCGGTATACAATCCGGATCTCTGCCCCAACATGATCGCGGCCCAGGCCAAGCTGGTGTATCATTTGAATAAATACTACAATGAGAAATGCCAAGCCAGGAAAGCTGCCATCGCCAAAACGATCCGAGAGGTCTGCAAAGTGGTGTCGGACGTGCTGAAGGAGGTGGAGGTGCAGGAGCCTCGTTTCATCAGTTCCTTGAACGAGATGGACAATCGCTACGAGGGGCTGGAAGTCATCTCTCCCACGGAGTTTGAAGTCGTGCTGTATCTGAACCAAATGGGGGTTTTCAACTTCGTGGACGACGGCTCCTTGCCGGGCTGCGCTGTGTTAAAGTTAAGCGACGGCCGCAAGAGGAGCATGTCCCTCTGGGTGGAGTTCATCACGGCGTCTGGCTACCTCTCCGCTCGCAAAATCCGGTCTAGATTCCAGACTCTGGTGGCTCAAGCCGTGGATAAGTGCAGTTACAGAGACGTGGTAAAGATGGTGGCGGACACCAGCGAAGTGAAGCTGAGGATCAGGGATCGGTACGTCGTGCAGATCACTCCGGCTTTCAAGTGCACAGGGATCTGGCCGCGGAGTGCTGCCCACTGGCCGCTTCCCCACATCCCCTGGCCAGGACCCAACCGGGTGGCGGAGGTCAAGGCGGAAGGCTTCAACCTCTTGTCCAAGGAGTGCCACTCTCTGGCCGGCAAGCAGAGCTCGGCCGAGAGCGATGCCTGGGTGCTGCAGTTCGCAGAAGCCGAGAACAGACTGCAGATGGGCGGCTGCAGGAAGAAATGCCTCTCCATCCTCAAAACCTTACGGGACCGTCACCTTGAGCTGCCGGGCCAGCCCCTGAATAATTATCACATGAAGACTCTGGTTTCCTACGAATGCGAAAAGCATCCCCGCGAATCGGACTGGGACGAGTCATGCCTGGGGGACCGGCTCAACGGGATTTTACTGCAGCTCATCTCCTGCCTTCAGTGCAGGAGGTGCCCCCACTACTTCTTGCCCAACTTAGACCTCTTTCAGGGCAAACCTCACTCGGCCCTGGAAAATGCAGCCAAACAAACGTGGCGACTGGCCAGGGAAATACTAACCAACCCGAAAAGTTTGGAGAAACTTTAGAGGGTAACTATAAAACCGGCCTGACCGATAAATCTGCTAATTTCCCGATGAAGTTTAGGCTGCCTATTCGAAAAGTCAAATATTTCCACCTGACAATGCAAATAATATTCTCTTTTAAAAAGGAATATAGCTTAGGCTCTTCACAAAGAAAAAAAAAGTAAATGAGAACAGCAAGCATCGTTCTTCTTCTTCACAGTTTTGCAGTTTCCCGGGGGAGGGAGGGGGTGAAGGAAAAAAAATAAGAAAAAAGGAAAGCGTTACCTGGAAAAGAGAACTGGCCGTAATTTAACACGATTGTGACCATTCTGACTGAAAATGGTACCAACGGATTATAACAAACCCCGGTATTTTTATGTAAACCCTCTGTGAGTAAATGCTATTTGGATTTCCCACCTGAACAAACCCTAATGTACCTTTTAATTTGTATCAAATATTGTGATCTCACATTGTCTTTGAAATTGTGGATGTTGGTGTTTTGTGATTTGGTGAACAGAAGTTAAATTGCCATTTTGGATACTTCAAGGACGTTTTCTGCTAAAGAGAAGATACCATTTAAAAAGGTAGATTTTATCACAGTACTTTTGTTATTTGTCTTTTGAAGTGTCTGAACTTAACAAGTTTACATTTTTCGTTTCATATATATTGCTTGTTCTATTTCTAACATTCCATAAATATACTTGAAATGTTATTTAAATATCTTCAAAAGAAATTTGGATTCTGCTTATATAATAATGCTTGAATATTGGAATTATATATTTGAAAATGCACTTGAAATACACTGGATAATTACCTTTTGTGATTTAGATTTTAATTTCTGTTGCTGATTTATTTAATTACAAGCTAATAAATGAAGTAAAATACATATGGGTAAGTGTTTCAATATCAGGTCAAGTTTTCTACTTGAAAAACCAAAGGCAGCTATGTTTAGGGGATTTTGCCTTTCTGTGGACAGTTGATTAAATCCTGTAAAGTGAAAACTTAAGGGCAGGCGCCTGATTTTGCATTTTGAATAGTTACATAGAATAGGGAAATATTCGTAATACAAACATATTATAATTTAGCTCCAGGTGACCATCAGCAACTGTCAGACACCAACGTGGTTATTAAATGCAATTACAGTTTTTCAGCTGTCAGGAAACAAATCTGGTTTTGAAGGGTTTACTATGCGGTGCTGATTTGTTTCTGTTCGGGTTCAAACAAAGCTGAGGACACACAACATATCCATGAAGCAGTGTATTGAGTAAGCAGCGAGTCTGATAAAACTAGCAATTTGGTACAGGTACTAATAAAGAAGAAAATAAAATTTATAGGTGAAAGCCGGCACCAATAAAATGAACAACAATATTACTTCTGACCTACAAATCCGTTACGAATGTGGTAAGATTGCCAGTTGCACTCTCAGAAATCAAGTCCCTGCGCTCCCAGGGCATTCAGAGGGAATAACATGTGCGTGCCTACAAAACTGCAAGCGATCCGAACCCGCCTGTCTGTATCGCACCGCCTGGTCCCTCTCAGGATGCATTTCTTTAAAGCCGCTTTTAAATCAAAACTCAGAAAAACAACGCGAATTTTGATTAGGATCCTAACAGTCAACAAGTGCTGAAAGAGGCCGATCGCCTGTGTAACATCCATTAACAACTACTTCCAGCGGGTGCACTTTAGGGAAATCGTTATATCCAGAGATTCTGACAAACTTTTTACCCCAGCACTGAGAAGAACGTTCCGAGTTTGACAAATTATTCGCCAAAGAAAAATCACCTTATTGCAAACATTCAGACGAGGAATTTTCTTGGAAATTATTTATGATATTTCTGCATTAAAAAAATCCAAATCCGTTGTAAAAGTACCCCCCTATTTCCTCTCTGCCAACATTTTCCAGTGTAATAGCAAAGAAATAAAGCAAGAGTGATAAGAATAAAAAGAGATGCAGACAAGAGGAGCGCCCTGTTAGACACGTCCCTTCTGTCTGCCCTCCTCCCCCCGTGGCAGCCCCTGCGCCTTTCCCGCGGGGAAGAAGCCACGCAAAGGTTTCCGCTCAAGTCACGCACCCCTGATCTGTTGCGGCTGGGCTGCAGGCTTTCACGGAGGGGAGGGGAAGGGGGAGGGGGGCGGCGCCGGGGCATTGGTACTAGTAAATGACTTCAGAAAGAAACAGCTTTCCCAGGAACCAAGTCTTCGAGTCCATGACTATTTCCACCCCCACCCCCTCTTTTCTTTCCCCCCAGAAAATAAGCATTAACTTCCATTTCAGCAGTCAGAATGTTTACAAAATGCGCCGTATTTTCTTACATGGAAACTAACGTTCTTGAAATAACGGGATTCTCCGATATCCTCGGAAGGGGTAAAACCCTTCACTGTGTGTCGGGAAGGCTACGGGCTGGGACTGCTGCTCCCTCCAGGGATTTCAGAGCAATTGGCTTAACTACTAAATCTGACCACGTTCATACAAAGGCACCGCGCGAAATGCTGCTGCTGGAAAACCCGCACGCTGCCGTAATAGAGGATTTAACATCATTAATACATTGCGGCTTTTTTTTTTTAATGCAGCGAAAGGCGGCAGACGGGAGCGGAGTTTGGAAGGAGGGGGCGGCCACAGCGCACGTGTGCCGGGACCGGGGACCGGGACCGCGACCGCGGCTGCGGCCGCCCGCACGCCGCACTCACCTTGGGGTCGATCTTCTTGAAGGCCGAGTCATCCTCGTCCACCTCGAAGTAGATCTCCGTGGTGGTGATGGAGAGCGTCCCCTTGGCCACCACCACGGGGGCGATGAGCTGTGCCGGCGTGCTGAGGACCACGGGGCCTGCAAAAGCAAGGGCAGCGGCGTCAGGTTGGAGGCGCCCGGCCGGCCCATCCCTGGTGGCCCTTCCCCTTCCCTCTGCCGAGCCAGCGCCCGGCGAGCCCCCTCATAAACCCTGTTTGTAAACCGCCGTGTTTATTCCCCCCCTGCCCGCGGCCAGCGCTTTGAACTCTGCGGCCGGGGCAGAAGCGAATTTGTGAGCTCCAGGGTTGCGAGATAAATCACAGCAGCGAAATTTAGAGGGGTTAGAGTGAAAAATAACTGCCTCTTAGAAGAAGGTTCCCTCTCTTTTCATGCCCTTTTGCTCCTCGTTAACACTATCGCTGTTTATGTGCGATAGCTGTGGCTCGTTCCACGCAGCTTCGACCTGGCAGCGCAGGGTCCCCACGGCGGCCGAGACGGGTCGGGGACGCAGGGCAGGGCAGCCTGCAGCCCCTGCCCGCCACACCGACCCTGCAAGGCTAGCAGCATTATCTTTAACTCTGGGTCCAGACCTCAACTCCGAAAGTAATGCGAAATATCGTGGGGGTTTTGAGTTTTGTTTTGTTGTTTTTTTTTTTCTTGGGGGTGTGTGTGTGTGTGTTTGTGTTTTTTTATTAATTTCTTTTTATTTACACCTATTTCAATACCCTACGCACAGAGAGTTAAATATATTTACGGAAAGATCATTTTTGTTTCAACTTCCTGCCGCTTATCCATTTAAAATTACCGTTACAATATTTCGCTCAAATATATTCCTTATGAGACGTTTTCACGGGCATTGAAAAGATGGGATGGGGAAAACCTGCTGTAAAAGGCAGCCTTGTCCACACAAATTGTTAGGTTTTAATTCAGGAAAAAAACCCCCAAACCAAAACAGAAACTTCTGCTTTAATCCAAAAAACAACAGAGGATTGCTTTTTCACCATCTTATCTTGAATATGAATGCAGTCTGCTGTTAAAGCTGACAGTGTCCGTTTTAGGAAGCTCAATTGCTCTAATTCGAAAAAAAAATTATATATAGAATAGTCTTCCAGATTTAACCTCAAAAGCGTGTAGGGCAATTTGTATACACATACATAAATACACACGGCCACATACACGCACAAACACGCATCTGACGTGCAAATAATAAAAGCTCCAGTATCGAGAAGCTGAGTACAACATCTGACTGATGCACCTTTCAAAAACTGGCAAACTGACCATCTCAGGGGATACTAAAAAGGGGTTTGGTTGTTTTACGCAGCTAAAATATCTCCCCTACAGTAAGGGAACCCTTGCTCGGAGGGCAGAGAGCCGTGCGCCTCCCGCTACCATCCCCGGCCGCTCGCCCCTCCAGCAGAGCGCTGCGGGGGCTGGCGCGGCTAAGCCGAGTCCGGGGCGGCAGCTCACATCGGGGCTAAAGCCACGGATGCGCTCTCTCCTCCTCCCCCAGCACCGCCCGCACACTTTACCACCAGCTCTTGCAAGCAACACTTCAAATTACTCACTTAGCCCAAATTACTCCTGTATCGGCGCATCTAACTGTCATGTTGTTAATGTTTTGCTTTACTGTAACACCCAATTTGAGCCCTTATTGCACAATATTTTGTCATTTACGCTGCGAAATAAATAAAGAGGGAGGCAGGGATTACTATGCCTACAGGGGGAAGCTAAAACGCAGAGTTTCGGTGACAGCTTTCAGCAGCCCAGCGTGGCAGACGGGATAATATTGATACAAACTCTATTTTCTTTCATTTTATTGTTTTCCATCTCCTAATAAACCGGGGTAGCCTCTTGACCCCAGTCAGCTGATCGGAATCACATGCGCCGGGCTTGCTTTGCTTCTCTGCCCGTCTCGCCTCCATCTTCTCTCCCTCCCTTGGCGGTGGGAAAGGAGCCGAGTCGAGCCAAGCCGAGCCGGGGAAGCCCAGCAGCAGGCTCCAAAGGGCAGGATGATCGATCCGAAACGCCGCTTTAAAGCCTCATCAATCTTCATCTAGGTTGCTCAAGTAATTACGCCCGATTCTCTTGTACGATTACAAGTGGATTTGGGTTTCTATTCCCCAGGCCCCCTTTCTTTGTGTTTACAGAAGGGGGGTCTGGGCAGCCAGCGATTCCCTGCCCCGCAGAAGCCCTTGCCCTGTCAAGCAAAGCGTCCTACCCCTCTTCTTGACCTTTCCGGGACCACCTGGCCCGGCACACGGTGATGGGCTCCCAGGCCTTTGTGCGGCGAGAAAAGCGTCTTTGGAAGATGCGTTCTGGAAGTGACCCGGTATTCTATCACTTTAAGGAGGCGTTTGTGGGCTTCGCTGAATCCCAGAAGGAAGAACATCAATTTAATCCAATTACCTCTTTTCCCTGGTGTTGTATGGCTAAAATAAAAATAAAGCCACCGCTATTTAATGGTCAAAAGGCCAAACCTTATAATCTGCCATCCAGAAGATAATGGTGTACCCTGGCTACTGGGTGTGCCAGCGACGTGCCCTCACGGGCTGGAGGAAGGGGCAGAGCTGCAAAAGCAGGGGTGGATGTGGAGGGAAAGGGAACAGTCACTTCTTAGCCCATTACTGAATGCAGGGGAATTTGGGGATTTCTGGCTTTTTCCTCCCGAGAAAAGGCTCCGAGCTCCCAGACTGGTACCTTGGCATCTGCCCTGCATTCTGCTTAAATGACACCCTAGATTTGTTGCAATGTAAACATGTCAGAGGTATCACAGTGCAACAAGGAATGAGCATTACTGTACTTTCCAGATGAGAAAACGTTTCCTTGTGTTAGTTTTTATTTTCAGTTAAAAAAAAAAAAAAGGTAGAAAGCATAAAAACAGCAGTCAAATTATGTGATTTTGCAGAAGAGGGTGCCAAACTAAGCTTAAAAAAAATCTTTACAGATTTTTTTTTCTCTTGAAAGCACAAAATGAAATAAAAAAATCGGTATTAACAGTGTGTCATTTTTACACTTGTCCTTTGGAAATCTCCAATTACAACTTGCAATTCCATAGCATGTTTAAGGAGCACTGAGTCTTTTTGTTGTAGCCTTCAGGGAGCAAGCCAGCCACTGAGAGAATATGAAATTAATCCACTACAGCTATATAGAGAGAGGATTA